ATTAACACCTATATGCATTAATTAGTTTGTTCCCGTACTCCTGGATTTGGTCAACAAATGTCCGAATTCATTCACGCACACACATTTATAAAATCTTCGTTATCGACGGCCTGTTATATGTTATGGAGTCGATAACGATGTTTGACCTGCAGTTAGGGTTAACCAGAACCAGAGAAACCGGCCCGAGGCAACACAATGAAGACAGAAATGCAACTCATTGCTTGACCACTTCAATTGTATTAAGCCGCTCGCCGCTTTGTCGCTCATTTCGGGGCCTCGGCCTAAAGGCTCCGTTATGCATACTTGGCATTGCTTGAGCGATGTCACATAAGGAATCTGTTAAATGAGCTTCGCGTGTAAGCGGTTACCCAACGCACAGCATTACATACGTAAAAGTCTGTTGGTTTTTGATTTCTACGTAAAAATGGTATAGCAGTGCATGCAATGCCAAGTATGCATAACAGAGCCTTTAGTGTTAATTATCGAAACTTGCTACGCAGCAGGCAAAGTTAAAGACAAATGGCAATGACAAAGGCGGAGACAAAAACAAAGACAATGTTAAATTAAAAAAATTTATATAGAATTCTGCATTACGAAGCGCACTATGTATCACTTTCATTGCGTGGCCCAGCCATGTTCCTTTTTTCCTATGTAAAGGTCACACAGAGTATGTATATATGTATAAAACATGGTGGTTAAACGAAATTAAGGTAGCTTTAAATCTCGATTATTTTCTACAATCTGTGTCTAAAAATACCATTACAAATTATTCGAAAAATGTATTATTTACAGCCGATTTTTCAGTGGACGTTTAATTAAAATCTAAAGATTATCTCTCTCGTGTCAGTTTCTCAGTGTACTTAATAGATAATTAACTCATATTTAATTTGCCAACATTGTGCAGTTAACTATTGATTTACTAATTATTTGTTAGCATTTATCAACTGAGAAATCGGCTTTTAATTATTTTCAATTGCAATGTGAAGCAAATGGAGCTAAGAAAAACCTTCGTCACTTGCTTTGATCGAAAAAAAATGCACGATTATTATATGCATGTTGAGCAAATTTGTATCGATCCCTCCAGCATGTTTTACTTTATTTTTGTTTATTGCATGTCTTAAACTTAAGGACCAGCGTTTAAATCGGTAAAACTGAGCCGTTCTTATCTACGCAACAGCCTGCAAAGTAAATATGGTTATGGTTAAAATTTTTATATTGTTTAAATAGCCACATAAAAATCTAGCTAGCGTAGCGTAGTGACTTAAATGGAGCTAAGCTTTTCTTCCTGCCGTTGCCTAATACATAATATCTCTTGGCTTTTTTGCGTGGTCTTATATATATATATATGTATTTAGTAGAACCCTAACTTAGTCGTACTATCCTGTTAACCAACTCGAACTTCGAACGATTCACTAAATTACCACGTTACATTATTTTCACAGGCTGGGGCACATCACGTTTCGAAAGTAATCGTCCAGTTTCGCTGCAGCCAGACTCGATAAGTTTCTCTCGCGTATCAGCGGAGAGTTCCAGCGAAAGTGAAGCTCAGTCCATCTCTTCAGTGTCTGGTGTGAAGGGTAGCAAAAGTAAAGAGGAGCGCCGCAGCGGCATGTTCCGGATATTTGGTCGCAAAGGCGGCGATAAGGAAAAAGACAAGGATAAACGTCGCTCAAGCCAAACGCCACAATAATCGGACGAAATTTCACAAAGAAGCGTATGTGTGGTGTGGTTGCATTGTTAACGAAGCGTCTAAACGAACGTTACTGTTATTTTAGAAGCAAATGACGAAATTGCATTGAAATTGTTACGATCCCGAAGCATTATTTACGAGCAAAACTGCAGTACTGCGGTAATTTGCATAAATATATGCATACGTATGTAGAATATGGCGGAGTAAGCCAATTTTCCGGCGAAAAAAGGAGCATTATTTATTTTATTACTTTAACTTTTATGAAATATATTCACGTTGTTATTTTATATATACATATATACATACCATATATATTTACTAAATGCCTACTTACATATTTTCTAATTAATAAAACCTATTAAGTCAGCAATTTTTCTATTCTCTTATTAAAAGTATGCAAACAAATTAAAAAAAAAAAATACAAAAAAAAAATAACTTAATTGAAATTAGTACGTACACGCATGCATATACATACATACATAGATGTTGTTGTATGGTACACTTGTTTCAAATTTTGATTTCCCACTTAGAAAAAGGCAATTTGCGAAAAATCATAAAAATTGCAATAACAAAGTGTTAAGTATAAATTACATTTACATGTATGTTTTGCTTGTAAAAGTTTAATTATTTGATTTAAGCCCCTTAAATGTCGATTATTTATGTTTGAGAAAATATATACAATTTGAAAACGTACTGTAATTAATTAATTGGCGAGTTTTTATTTAACAGTGTATTTAAGGGCAAGTATAGCAATTTTGGTAGAGGCGTATTTTATACCCCAGCGGACTGACTACTTTTGTCATAGTAATAAAGCGGCGAAAAAGAAATTCCTGCAAACGAGCAATTGTCAATTAATACACTTACGCTGAAGAGCGTGTGCGCTATCGTTCCCACAACAACAGTCGGTCTACATAACCCGAACGATCCACCCTTATATGTCTGGCCAAAAACTGTCACTCCAACATCCTTCCCCAAAAACTCTTTGAGGAATTTGTATGCTGTTACAACAACAACACTGTGCTCTGTACATTATATACATTAGGGTGGTCCTTAAATCAAATGAAATATTTTTTCTCCTGTCTCACCCTCAATCGGCAATAGACGGCAGATATCACATATAATTTTGGTCCTGAATGGAAATGGTTAAGGCGTTTCGCACGGTTAAAAGTTGAGATTCCGCTATGGAGACTAAAAAAATTTAAATTTTTTTTTCCAACCGAATAAAAAATGACGTTATCAACTATTATTTATTTTTTCACAAATGCAATTACAAATACGCGGTTGCCGTGCTGGGTGATCTATTTAGTTGGTTCATGGCATTATTTCTAAAAGCGCCATTTTTTTATTTTAAGCGTGGAAATAGCAGCGGTTACATTGCCGTCTTAAGAGCGTGTCAGACCAGACAATTCAGTGTATTTCAAAAGACTGTCAAATTGAGAAATTGCAGAAAGCATTTGTATGAGCAGTGGCACCGTTCATGTAAAGTGTCTTTCGAAAGCAACTTTTTTATTTCCGAAAGGCGAATTGTAGGGAAAATTTCTGAAATCGCTTTTTGACTGTTTACACGCAATATTTCTCGATACTAAAATGCAACCGTGAGCCGCTAAAATAAACAAATTTATAAAAGCAAGATAACGAAAAATAAATGGATTTAGAAAAACATATGAAATGGGTCGATACTATCGATAGTATCGATAGTCACCCTTAAAACTATCGTGCGTTTGCCGATTCCATTTTGGGATACTTTGACGATCGGTGTTTCCCTTAAAGATTGCGGCAGAAAATATGTATGTACAGAAAAGAACCAAACATTGCCAAGTATAAATAGAATGACAATTTATTTAACACGGCAGTTTTCAGTGGTTAAAAAAAAATAAAATAAAAAACTAATAAAAAATATCGGTGTTATCAATAGAAAGACTTAAAACAGAATTCGTATATAGTCGTTTTTTAATATTAAATAACTTTTGCTACATTGTCATAATATTAAGTCAAATGAACAGTTGATGCACTAAATTGCGTAACTACGATCTAAAATAAAGAATTCAAGGATATTTGTGCTTTTTATGTGTTTTGATATATTTCAAAAATCATCACAAGCCTTGTAGGAAATCGCCTCGTTTTACGAATTTTTTTATTTGTTAGATCTAATACATGCATATATGATCAAGACGTGTGGAGCTCGACACAAACATATCGTCACTAGACACGAATAAAGGCGCAAGCTCAAAAGTTGAAGCATCTTTTTTCGCAAAGTTTTTTTACGTGTCTTTTTTCGCCGTCAAAACACTATAGCGCCTTTATTCGTATGTAGTGACGATATATTCATACTTGAAACCCCGTAACTAGGTATATAGTTTTCTGCAATTGTTTAGAAATAGTATGCACAAATGGGTAAAAGTAAGAAAGAATTAGTACATTTTTTACTACTTTAAAATGCGGCCAGTAACAGTGAGGTTAAGTTACTGACGACACTTTTTATTATTACACTATGGCCATCAGTAATATGAAAAGTTTAATCGTTTTCAACGAAAATTTGATCAGAAAATTAAGCTAAAACGTATCCTTTATACAATCATTTTCGGTACCTTTCTAAATACACTTGTCGGATCGGATGCACACTTTAGTAGAAAAATGTATCCGAAAACGACCGCAGAGGAGCGAGCTACTATTTGTTGTACATATAAAAGTATTTATTAAAATTAAAATAATTGCTGAATTTTAAAATTGTTTTTTGTTTGGTTTCCTGTAACCATGAAAACGTTTCTGTGAAGTTCATAATGAAATCGTTTTCAACGAAAATTTTATCAGACAGGAAAACAGGAAAACAGCCTAAAGCACATCCGTTTCAAAACCATTTTGGATAGTTTTCTAGTACATACGTTTCGGATGACCACTCTATTTGGTTTAGTGAGAGGTGCTCCGAAATGCAACGTTGCATACATTCAGGCGTCATGTGACTTGAGTAAGTGAGGGAATTGAACATGCATGCCATTTTGTTTAGAATATTCCACCTCATATAGCCAAAACATTTTTTGCAAAATGTGATGAAAATTTGTAAAATACGGCATTGTTTTGGATAAATTTATATTTGAAGGCATCTATGCTATGTTCTGAAAATCTCAATATATACATATGTACTGCATTATGTAAAGGTAGCACACAAACCAATCCGATCTTATTACCTAAAGCTGAACGTAAACTAAAAATCTTCATGCACCCTTACCCCCATACATACATATGAAATGTATATTTAAAACAAACCTTGATTTCCGGTACCCAGCTTCACATCTTTCATCGCCCACCTCCATTTACCTAACGGCCAATAAAAAAATGTCGAATTTAATTAGCAATGATACGATTGTAGAGTCAATATTTAAATAGTGTTTTTAGAAACTTGCCATTTAATTGTAAATGCGAGCATAATGCACCTTAAATCGTTTTCCTGCGATAAGAGCGCCAATTATTTAGGCTTGCGAGGTATTTAACGACGAGTACAACCAAATTTTGAAATCATTCGGTTTTTGTTTAGCCACGGAGTAGTTATTCTGCACGCAAACATCGAGAATGGTCGCCTTAATAATTTCTATAATTACAGTTTTCTTCCTAAGCCAAGTGCTGGCGCAAGACCAAAATGTATTGGAGGTTAATGGACGAGAAGGAGCCAACAATACGACACTAATGGATGTGCATATTAGACTCTTCAACGAGCTGCTTCGCCAGGAATCATTGTCGAAGAAGAATGTGGTAGACAGTTGGTACAGTTCTACCAACAGCAATCGGGATGCCTCGAATGAATTAGAGAATATTTTGTGGGACACGGTAGATAGTTGTGAATGGCCACTCGCACTGTATTTAATCGGTCAATTCACGAATAACACCCAAAACTCTACTGTGCATTATATTGCCTTCAAAGTGTTGTGGCGAAAATTAAAAGCAAATAAAATGCTGTACGATCCCAGAAATGTCATCGATTTATATTTGGCAATGAGAAATATTACGCTGGAAGAGCACGGCATTCACAATCTAGGACAGTTTCAGTTACTTAAGAAGGAAGTTCGCGGATATCTCATTGAGCGTAGTGCCCAATTGCTTGAAGTGCCACTGCACCCCGCCAATTATAATGATACAAATATCATTTGCGCCAACGACACAAGTTATCCTCTAGTACGCCAGGTGATCAGCCAATTGAATCAATTGGATGAAGATATTTTTGAGGAAGTTTTGAATGTTACATTCGATGCTGCACAGCTGTTGGAAAGCGATAGGAGTGTCGCAAATGCACTCAATTGTTTGGGATTAAACTCGAATCAACGGCTAATAGCGCATTTAACATTTTTAAACAGAAATAGCGACTTTCAACTGCTATTGTACAGTGATGTTCAGCAACTCTTAAGCGAATGTGACATGGGCAAGTTGCTGCCAAAGTACTTGAAGCAAATCAGTGATTTCATGCCGGAATCTATGGTTGCATTGCACAAAGCCAGCGCTATTTGTATTCATAACACTACTGGCAGCTTTGGCTACCTAAGCGAGTGCGCACAAACGGCTTTGATGTGCACGTATTCCAGTGGGTACAAGTATCGTTCAGTTTTCCAAATAGAGCGTCTTCTGGGCAACAGGTATACTTTCTATAGCACATTTTGGATGCGCTATATAAAGCTGGAAACAAATTATTCCAATATCAATAGCTCTATGCCACCAGCATTCATTAAAAACGTGTACAGCTCAGAATCGCCAAGCGTATGGCAGGCAGTATTTGTTGGAAATAGCGTCGCGTTGATGGACGCCAGTATGCGTCAATACCTTTGTGGCGGTAATCAAACAATGTGGAGCAAATCAGAGCAGTATGTATATACACGCCGAGTGGAGGACTTTCAGTTGTATAAAAACGAGTGTCTCTGGCTGATAGAGGACTGCAGCTACATGATCTAAATGGTGATGAGAAAACAGTAAAATTTGCTTATTGAATCATATAGAATATATATAAATAAAGCGTATTTTATAATGCTAGTAAATACCTTGAAAACCCCGCAGGTATCAAATCTTTGAATTGTCAAAAGTGATGTTAAATAAGGGGCCTGATGCATAAAAAGTTAGCAGAAGCTCTGATTGTCTCACTGATGGAGTGAACTCAAGCTAGAGAATTTGGGCCGAAAATCGATTCGCAGTTTAAGCTCAATTTGTATGCCCAAAAACTTAAGCGTTCTTCCCCCTCCCCAATATTTGAATGTTTTGTTGTTTTCTTAAATTTTTTCACACGGAAGAGATGAATAAATGTATAACTTTCCAGTCACGGAATAAAAAAAAAACAAAACTGCATTATTTTTGCTTAAAAAAGTAGAAATATTTATATATGTGCATATATATGTACATCTAGAGTAAAATACACAAAATACTTGTTTATATAACTTGCATTAAAATATCATTATGGCATTTTATTAGTTAGTAACATAATCTTTTCGTTTTTATACAGGCTAAGTCATAAAAAAATAATGGGGAATTCTTTGAATGAGCGTAGTAATTGCTGTCCAAATTTTAAAATAGGTTCTACCTCATTTCTCACTAACCGCCATAACACATACGCTACCTTGATGTAAAGTCCCAGGGTATGCAAACAGTTCCATCCGTCAGTACAGAGTAGTAGTTCGTAATGTGTAAATTTAGTTCCCGGAAGCGCATATCGTTATATTCTAATAGTTTGTTCATAGTTTCTATCATTTTATCTGGAGTAACGGAGTCATCTTTGGTCAAAGTATGTAAACGTAATTGATGTAGGCATTGTGCCTTCAATTGCCGCTCTACCGTCTTCTGTGTTAGATATTTTTCCGTACGTTCCTTAGCTACATCCAAGTTGGTAGTAATGAAATCGATTAACATGAATCCAGGGCATGTTGCCGGCGCTATTAATTGACCTGTAGGATTTACCATTAGCGGGCCTGCCTCCGACTCAATGACGATTTCATAATCGGCCAATGTGGATGGCCACGACTTTGGGAACTTATTCACAGTAAGGTAGTCCCCAAGTGTCGTTGTCACTTTAATCAGATGTGCAGCATATTCTCGAGCTTGTTGTTTGGGCATAAACTTTCTTCGACCAATTTTTATGTTAAGGAGGACCTGAGACAGCGTATTCTCGTATAGGGGTATTTTCTTTAAAAATTCATCATGTTGTGGAATGTTTTTTATGAAATCAATCCAACTGGTCAGCACATCGCCCGTAAATAGCATTATATGTCCCTCCAAGCTGACGCCAGTGAAAGGCGCAAATACTAGAACTCGATTTTTCATTGCTCCCATTTCATCAGAATGCAAATTAGCCATGCGCTCTAGGGATTTTAAGCACCCACGGAAATGCTCATAATTCCAACCGCAATCGTAACGAATATCTTTTAGACCCAATCGTTTAGTAACAGCCTGCTGCAACTTAATTACCTCTTCTTTTAAATCATCCAAATCAGAAGTTCGCAGTTTCGCAATGGGTGCATTCTTTTTTAACCAAGAGTCCAATGTTTTCCTCTGCTCTTCTTTGGTCTACAAAGGATTAAGCAAATTCTTAATTCAAAGGTTTTATTTTTTAATAAAAAAATATGCATCATCAAATTATGTACAAAATTAAGGATTCACGTCTGTATGTTGTTTTCCTTGCTAAAGCAGTATGAGTTACCTTGCATAGAGTGGTTACACAAACCAAACGGAAAGGAAAGTTTATCAAATTTATCTGTATATGTATTCCTCTAATTTAATGCTTACAAAGTCAATTTAGGCTGAGAATTCCAATAGCTATATCATATATATATATTTTTGTATAAAACTCGGTGGGGATATTAATGGAGGCCTTCTTCAACTGAATTTATCACTTTCACAATGCTGCTGCACCACATTTCACAAACAAAAAGAAACAACAATGGCCCACAGTAAGAGCAAATGTGTGCTACTATACGTTTTAAAAGAAAATAAAAATATGTTGAATGCATAATAAAACTTCTCTATTTTTAAAGAGCCTTTTTTATAAAAATCGATGCTTCGAGAATAATTGTAATAAAAAATCGCACAATCAACTTACATTATTGAAAGAACTTTCGAAGCCGGCGAACTGTGATCCATAGTTGTAGTCGTTTCCCGCTTTGAAAGGGCTTGTGGCATTCGCAAAACCTGCTGCTGTTGCTGTTGCGCTCGTAGCTGCCGTAACCGGCATTGATTTGATGGTTTTAACATAATCCGTCGGAAGATTGCATAATTCCAACAAACGCTGTACCACTAACTTCGGATCCTTTGTACTTCGGTCTAATGTTACCTTGATTAATTTGAAGGTATCTCGTGAACTAGCATTTCCGTCTCGTATGTAAAACTGTAATGTTTTAGGTTCGTACAAAGCCTGATATTTTCGCTCATACAACAACTCCATATGCGCACTCAAAAGTTTCAACGAGTTCTCATTTACGTTGCGCTGAACCGGATGTTGACCAAAGAAGTCTGGATGTACCGCAAAATAAAACGGCCGCAATGCATTTGTCAATTCCGTGCTAATGTGCCGCCATAAAACATGAGACCAAGCTGAGGGTGGTAATTGGTTTTGACTTTTTACTACAGCTGAATTAAAGCGCAACAGCATCTTAGCTATTTGTAAACAATTATATAAGTAGGTAGGTATCGTCAAGGATACATATCTTACTGGCCAACCGTTGATGCTGCACACCAAATCGTTCAAATAAACATTTGAAACAATTTTGCAGTGTTTTATTCACTGGAATTTAGTTTTGACACTAACGAAAAAAAAAAACAAAATCGTTTTGCAAATCCGAATATGCGTAGAGATAACTAAAATAAAATATGTTTTCAAGGAACAAAACACACAACAGCTGATTAACAAATAGGGATCAAACGATACGAATAAATAAATACAAATACATACTCGATACTTTTCGTTCGATACCAAGTAACTTTGGCATCGATACTTTTGAACCAAGTACTGGGCAGGTATCGAAAAAAAGTACTCGTATCGATACCCGATAGTCAGAAGATTTTTTTCCTGCAAGTTCATGAAAAGTGTCAAACTATAGGCAGGGCTGCAGTTGTAAACAAAAACAGAAAGCAAAGAACATTAAGCGCCACGGAGAAAATCAAATAAATACGTCAAGCATTGCATATGTGTGAGGTTGGCTCTTGTCTAGCCCGTAAACGTTCAAATAAACACGTCAATTCAACAAACAATTTCTTTTTCTTGTCCGCGCACTTGCTCACCACGACGATCAGAAGGCAAGTGCGCTTGTTTTTTGTCAAGCATAACGCGAGACGGTTGATAAAGATTTTTGGTCGTCTCCATGGCGCTTTACATTGAAAAACAAAATGGAAGTGTTACAGGAAAAGTGGTTTTTCGTGTTCCAGGTGACTTTTATTAGGTTTGTTCGTCGAGCAAAAAATTTGTACGAATTTGTACGAATTATCATGACTTTTACCCAAATTGCGTTCGTGCAGACTAAAAAATATCCAACACTCGAAAATTGTGAGAGCAACGTGACAGTTCTCGTCAATAAGTTCGTAGTCGTAAATAAGTTCGTTAAATTTAAAAATTTATAAACACGAGCAATTTTTTTTTATGAAAAAGGAAGTAAATACTTGTTGATATAATTAATTTAGTTAATTCGTATGATTTTAACTTAACTCGGCTGAAAAAACTTGTATTCGCAATCGGAATGCAATTGCAACCAGAGTCGATTTAAGAAACCCGCCAGCTAGTACGATAAAGAAATTGGAATGTATGTTAAAGAAAGTCAGAACAACAAGAAATATACATGTGCATCCTGTTTTTGTCCATCTGAAAGAACTTTAAAAATTCTATAAAAATTTATTATGTTTGAAATGCAACCGTGGACACCAGCTGGCAGCGTAACCAAATTTCTGCAAATTTGCATTCGTGCAGAAATTTGCAAGTTTCTCAGCAAGAGAGAGAATTTTTTCTTACTCTCTGATATTTTGAGTGTTTGATAATTCTTGCTGGATTTCCGACGAACAAACCTATTGTTTCGCTCTCGCTCCTCATTTTCAAGAGAGTAATTTTGTTATTTGAGAGTTTAACAGGTTTTTACACGAAGTTATTTGGAACGCAACCACGATTGAGAGAATACATACATACATACATGTATTTTATCATTCTTGGAACGCAACTATTGTGGGCAGATTAGAGCATTTAGAATATATTAACTTTTGACAGCTCTTTCGCACCATTCTGGTTAGCCAGTAAAATGTCACAAACCAATCTAGATCGCAAACTCAAACATTTATTTGATGGAACTGATTGGAATGTTTACGACGACCTCATCCTAAATTTAGGTGTAGGAGCTCCAGGTCCAGATTTGTTAGAAAATTGCTGTGATATATTTCAAGAAGCCACGAAGCATCGTCTGGTAAGTAATTTTCCAGTATAAAATGTAATATCTTTATATGCGCATCATGTACATAGTATAGAATATCTGCATTTCAATTTAGAATTATGAAAAGGAAAATTTATCTTATCTCTTCCAATACGGACCAACTAGTGGGCCAGTCGAAGTGCGAAATGCTATCTCTGAGTACTTCAGCACTCAATACATTGATAATCCCGTGAAAAGGTATGTATGTATATATGTATGTTTAGCTAATTTACTAAGCCGGTCACAGCTCAAAAAA